TCACTCAATCATCATAGAATGCTTCCAAGAACTCTCATTATAATGCACATATTATATTGGAATGATTTCCAAAATTGTTTCGGAGCTGAATTTTGCGTCTATAATAATTTAAACGATATTCAAAAGCAACGCTTGTATGTGTCAGTCTCAGGGTCGTTTTTTTCACCTCCACTTTAGCCTTAAACCAGGTTTAACTATATGGGTAAACCTGTTTAAAGATGTAAGCAGAGGTGTAGAAATCGACCCTCAGAGCACTCAATTTTTCATATGAGTCTTTCGTAGTTTGTACTTTGGTATTCTTCTCCGAAATATCTTGAGAATTCCTTTATTATATTCTTAAAATTTCTTTTGGATTTTATTTTAAATACTTGATAATTCTTCAAAGACTTCTGAAAATCTAGCACAGACAAATGTCCTTGAAAAGTTTTAAAGGTTTAGCACTTATTTTCGGAGAAAGGAGATATATTTTTCGCGATTTGTAATCGAAATTGAAGGTATTTTCCAGTAGTTTTCCTGGTCTTTTACAGTTTCTTGAATGTTTTCGGTTCACTGGTCACACTGGTTAAAATTTTGTCATAACTACTGCAGACTTCCTTAGTGCCAAGTACTCAATTAAGACATTTTTCGTTGTGAAAAAGCTACTTTTAGTGACTGTTTTTAGGGAATTAGTGCCTTTAGTGTTTTTTTTTTTGTTTAAAAAGTTTATTTCTAGTGATTGACTTTAAAATTTAGTAACTGAAAAATTACCAGCTATCAGCCCTGTACAGGGCAAAAATCGTGATTATGGCCCAGCGGTTTGTGGGCAACAAGGAAGAAGGACAATAATTTAGACTATCGAAAACATTGAATAAAAAGAATCAGATTTGTAAAATTATTTCCCAGAAATATCGAAAACAAAAATGAATTGACGCGGAAAAAGTGAATTGGTGATGAAACGTTTTAAAAATTAAAAATTAACAACCAAAATATTAAATATTACTTACGCATTCAACAGGTTCCAGAACATGACTGGGTATGGCCAGTTTGATCCTGGGTTCTTCAAATGACTACCTTTGAGCTGTTTTTTTTTTAATTCTCATGTAATTTGATGTGATTATGGGTTTTATTCGCAGCAGGCCGGATTTAGTTACATGGCCATACAAACCGAAACATGTTCCGGCCATATATCCGGAACCAGTAGATTCCAAAAATAATCAAAGCATTTTATGAGATCATGACACCTTTAATTTATTGGTTGTTGCGTCCAATTGGGCTTAGGGGTTGCCAAGAAACACGACTTATTTCCTTAATTCCCTATTCACCTGAACTTTTTCCGGCCATATCTCCGGAACCGGCTGACCGTTTAAGCGTGTTTTTAGCGCTCTATGGGATCATAATATCTTTAATGTGACGGTTGTTCCGTCCAATTCGGATTAATGGTTACCGAGAAACTTCACAGTTGTAGCAATGAAAATAAAACACTGTGGTTCTATTTGCTTTTTTGCTGAAGGAAGTGTTGCTGCTACCTAAAGCCTAAGGTCGATTTGGAGAAACTTTCTTCTGTCGCCATGTCTCCTAAACGCAAAAGAAAAGGGCAATCTCTTGATCACTTCTGATGAAATTCTTTTGATCATTCAAATTGATATGCTCACAGATGATGACAGAACTCTGCAGGTAAATTATCAGAATTCTAAACCTGATCGACTACCTGTTAGAGCTTGAGTTCCTCAGACTAGCATTCTTGGGCCTATATTGAGGAAACAGACCGCCCTGAATTGCCTTAGGGTTGCCCCAATTCTTTGTTCGCTGATGACACCGGCAGCCGGCGCCGGTGGTGTAGTGGTAAGCGTGACTGCTTTCTCACCCCAATGGGTCTGGGTTCAATCCCAGCCGAGGTCGGTGGTATTTTTCTGAGGCATAAACATCTCTGGTAACGTCTTTCTTCGGAAGGGAAGTAAAGCCGTTGGTCCCGGCCCATGTGTGTTTGAAGGGGTGCGATATCGTACGCAGGTGTGGAAGCTGCCTTCCTGCACATTCGATTCAAACAGAGACCGATGTTTAATGAAGCAAAAAAGAAAGAAGAAGACACAGCCATTTCTGCTAAAGGAAGAAGTCTTCGTGTTATTTGCAGCAGACTGCAGACAAAAAGGGAAGATTTCTCCCAACGCTTCCAAAACTCAAGTACCTAGTTGAGTAGTTGTCACATAGTCACTATGAACGGAGTTCCAATTCCTTGGTCAAGTTAAGTGAAATATCATAGATTAGTACTTGACCAAAAGTTAACTTTTATAGATCACACTGAGAGCATTCAAGCCAAATGTAGCAAATTTATAAAATGATTGTATTATCTTAAAAACAGAAAATGCAAACTTTGCCTCAATAATAAACGTCTAATATTTAAATAAGTTTTTAGACCGGTCATGCTTTATTCTGTACCAATATAGATGTTGCACTAAAGGGTATTTCTTTCAATTTTGCATTTAAAAAACCTGAACACCCCTCATTTTGAAGGTGTGTGTGTGTAGAATGTTGCTCCTATTTTGATTTTGGAATTCACTCTTCAGTTGTCAAAATGCCGTCCAAGCAAGAAGAGCAACGTATCAAAATTTTGCTCGCGCATCGCGAAAATCCGAGCTACTCGCACGCAAAGTTGGCAAAATCGCTAAAAGTTGCCAAATCAACCGTTACAAATGTAATTGAAGTGTTTGGGGAACGTTTGTCGACAGCCAGGAAGTCTGGATCGGGGGGAAATCGAAAACCGGAAGCCGCTGAGACGACAAAGAAAGTTGCCGGTAGTTTCAAGCGAAACCCTAACTTCTCTCTCCGAGATGCCGCAAATAAGCTGGGTGTATCGTCTACAACCGTGCATCGAGCCAAAAAACGAGCCGGACTATCGACTTACAAGAAGGTAGTGACTCCAAATCGCGATGATAAACAAAATACGACGGCCAAAGCGCGATCCTGGAGGCTGTACACGACGATGCTGACGAAGTTTGACTGCGTGGTAATGGACGACGAAACCTACGTCAAAGCCGACTACAAGCAGCTTCCGGGACAGGAGTTTTATACGGCAAAAGGAAGGGGAAAGGTAGCAGATGTTTTCAAGCACATGAAACTGTCAAAGTTCGCAAAGAAATATCTGGTTTGGCAAGCCATCTGTACCTGTGGCTTGAAAAGCAGCATTTTCATAGCTTCCGGGACTGTCAACCAAGAAGTTTACGTGAAAGAGTGTTTGAATAAACGTCTGCTGCCTTTCCTGAAGAAACACGGTTGTTTCGTACTGTTTTGGCCGGATTTGGCATCTTGCCATTACGGTAAAAAGGCCATGGAGTGGTACGCCGCCAACAACGTGCAGGTGGTTCCCAAGGACAAGAACCCTCCCAACACGCCAGAGCTCCGCCCAATTGAGAAATACTGGGCTATTGTCAAGCGGAACCTAAAGAAGACCAAAAAAACTGCTAAGGGCGAGCAGCAGTTCAAGGCAAACTGGCTTTCTGCGGCGAAGAAGGTGGACAAGGTGGCTGTACAAAATCTGATGGCAGGGGTCAAGCGTAAGGCCCGGCAATTCGGATTTGGAAAAGCGGAAGCCTTACTGAATATTTTTCCTGAATTTTATACTAATTGAACTTGAAAAAGAAATTTAATTTGATTTTTTAAATAAACGATTTCACCGATTTACACGCGTTTTCCCTTGACCAAATTTTGACCGTATCACCCTTTACCAGGAAAAAATCACTTCAAAATATTCAGAACAAAGTTCTGAAGATGAGTTTAAAGTTGCCTCCCAGGTATAGTACTACCGAGGTACACGCAATCCTCAATTGTAACGATAAATTACCTTTATACTTAGATAAGATTTGATTTTAGTTTTTAGCGTTAAGATGTCAATTCCGGAGTGATTTGAGATTTGGGCGTAATTGCATTTGTAAACTAACACGTCAATCGCGAATAAAAGCTCATTCTCGAAAACTAACAACACTATGAGGTAGAGGAATGATTCCTCTGTCATTAGGTATAGCTTGTTTATGAGATTGAGCTTCTATTCAAAAGAAATCAGCATTTGACGTGTTTGTTTACAAAAGCAATTACACCCAAATCTCAAATTACTCCGGAATTGTTATACTGATATGCAGGTTTAGAAAAACCTGTTTAAAATACTGAATTACCAATGCAGGAACAATGTAAAAACAATTGGATATACCGTGCCTTCATGTTTTTGGCAACACGACTTCATCAATTAATTATTTCTTCAAATTTGTGCTAGTAGAAAGGATCCTTAATGAAGGCTCTAGTGACATCAGAAATGGAATTAAGCGTTGGATGGATTTTCTAGAAAGTGAAGAAGACACAAATCATGTGTTGCCAAAAACGGGAACTGTATATCATAACAATTAAGGCTAGTTAGTTACTGTAGTATCTGGAGCACCTAGTTTTAAATTATATGTTATTTAGTTTGAATTTGAAACAAAACGCAATGTGGTTCTTGAGATCGATATCGACTTATAGAATAATGTTAGCAGTTATGTTCAGTGAAACAAAAAAATGCAATTCATCAAACGACGCCTAAGACTTTCGGCAAACCAATCACTGCTCGACACCATCATAGGAGACATGACGCCATGCCATCAGCATCAGCAGCCTCGACAGCGAAACCACAGAACAAGTGCAAAGAGTGCATAAAATTTTAATATCGCACCATCATCAGTAGAGCGCTGCAAATCTCCAACCACAAACTCCTTGGTGTCCCTGTCTCACCCACCCGCCTAGAGCTATTGTTGAAATGACAAGTTCAATAAATTTTATTACCATTTAGTTTGCTGTGCTGAAAATAGCTTTCATTCTCTCGTCCAAGACCGTCCAGCCAAGCCATGGCAGCTCTCTTTTGTGGTGTGTGTGCTTTTCTCTGTGCGAAATAAATTACAGCTAGTTTTAAAATTAACTGTGCGTACATAAAAGAGACAGATTTATGGCCACCGGGGCTCCCCTCAACTTTCCCCTCACCGAAAAAAAGCATAGTTTTCCCACTGGAAAGTACATATGTACCTACGCGCTCAGTTCGCGTATATTCAAATGGAATTTTATTGACTCTTAAAAACACCGAAGGGCATTTACTACACTATTTGGAGAGGCGGTGGCCACGGGTCGTAACAGTAGCACACTCTAAACGTGCTCGCTTGGAAGATGAATTTTCTTTACTATGTTGGAATAGTAATGCGATTGCCTAAGGGTTACCTTTTACAATTGGAGAAGATTGGTTCGTTGTTCATACCTGAAATTGAAAGCAAAAAGTTTAAGGTTACTTAAATTGTTGGAGTTGGCAGTGGAAAAACAAAATGACAATTAAAATGCATCACCCCCCGGGAAAATTTTCCCATTAAGCATTCGGGCAGCAATTAGCGAGGACCATCAACCATTTTGTCGGTTGTTGGACGCCACTCACCGGAACCACTCGAGCGGCTGAGTGATTTCACGTTATTTTTTCGATTTCTTCCTCCGCGCATCCACCCAATCGGGGCGAAATTCCACTTTAATTAAAGTCCAAGTGTGAAATCTAATCTTCGGAAGCGTCCATGTCCTTACACCGTCGCTACCTCCGCTCATGTTATAGGTTTTGTCTAATTGCGTTCATGTCTGGCAGAGATTCTTATCTACTTTTCCGCTTACTCCAGCAGGGTCCTTCGGAGTGGAGGAGTTGCCGAATGATTGCCCGAATGTCATCCGATTCCGACTTTTCTTTATTGGACCTTGAGTGATATTTGTCGTCTCTGACTGGAATTGAAAGAGATGTAGGAAGCTGTTTGTTGATGGCGGTAAAAGTTGAAAAGAACCTAGGTAGTGTTTTCATTAAGGTACACCGGTACAAATTTAAACGGTTTTTTCAGAGTAGTACTTTAAGGCTGAGAGCCTTAAAAAAGTAATAAAATAACATAAAACGGATGTTTTTGCACCAAATGATTTGTATAAGCGTCTTCTATCAAAACTTTTTGACTTCAATATAAGTAGAAATAGTTTAACAACTAGAATAAGACAGCTAAAATAGGTATTTAAGTGATTCACAGTCTTTACAACATAGCTAAACACGTAATAAAATAAATAAATTAACATATTAAACTATACAGGGTGATTCAAAATAATTGCCGCCAATTTCGATTCTGCAATGCAATTCTCAATGGGTAAAATGGTATTTTTGTTTTTAGGTATGTACAAATATCAGTTTGTATTAATAGTACAATTTTAAATTTCCTTCGTTTTCGGTTTCAAGCAGCCATGGACGTAAAAATGAAGCATGTCTTTACTCATTATTTGTTCCCAATTCAAAATAAATTACATTTCATTTTAACCTAGGTGCTCCAGTTACTACAGCAACTAACCAGCTTTAATTGTTATGATATATATCTAAGTGTTTTACATTGTTCCTGTCTTGGCAATTCAGTATTTTAAACAGTTATTTTCCAAACCTGCATGTCAGTATAACAAATTACCTCTTAAACTAAAAACTAAAACTAAATCTTATCTAAGTATAAAGGGAATTAATCATTGCAATTGAGGACTGCAATGATTTTTGCCCGAAATTATTAATGATTTTATTGGACATTTGCTCTAAACTCTCAACATTCGAAATTCTGTGTACCTCGGTAGTACTGTACCAAGGAGGCAACTTTAAACTCATCTTCAGAACTAAATCCTTTGAAGTGCTTTTTTCCTGGTAGTGCAACAACTAGACCATATTGGCACAGCGTAAAGCATGGCCGGTCCAAAAACTTGTTTAAATATTAGAAGCAGTGCTGAGATTTGTCATTGTCATTGACAGACTTTTGCGCAATATTGACAAAATTGTTTTTCACATAGTCAATGATAGACTTGATCCTCAAAAAAATCTTTGTCAAAATCTCATTCATTTTTTCGTCAATGACAAAGATTTACCTGGTAACAGAAAGTGTAATTTCTTGCATTCTGAGACACATTATTTTTATCGAAGCGGTTCAGGACGTAGATGCTTATTCACTTTAATGGCTCCATGTAATTGTTTTGCTCAAGCCATTTTATTTCATTTCAAATTTAGCTAATAAACAAATCAGCACATGTTCGTCACTGACAAAAATGCTACTGACAATTGACATGGTTTGCCTTGACGATGACTGTTAGCTCAAACGAGTGACCAAAGCAGAATTTTGAGTATCACCGTGTATTGTCGAAATTTTGCAGCACTGATTAGAGGTTTATTCGTCAGGCAAAGTTTGGATTTCCTGTTTATAAGAGGATACAAACATTTTATATATTTGTTACATTTGGCTTGAATGCCCTCAATGTGATCTTTAAAAGTTAATTTTTGGTCAAGTACTAATCCAAGATATTTCACTTGGTTTCGACCAGGAAATTGGAACTCCGTTCATAATGACTAAATATGTGACTACAACTAGGTTTCAAAAAGGAAGCTCTAGGCTTATGTGGAAATATTATAAGTTGAATTTTGGAAGCGTTGGGAGAAATCTTCCATTTTTGTAAAAAAATAAGAGAAAATATCTAAACTTTTCTGCAGTCTGCTGTAAATATCACGAAGACTTCTTCCTTAAGCGGAAATGCCTGTGTCATCAGCGAACAAAGATTTGTGGCAACCCTGAGGCAAATCAGAGAGGTCCGTAGTGAAAATGTTATACAATATAGGCCCAAGAATGCTACCCTGAGGAACTCCTGCTCTAACAGGTAGCCGTTCAGATTAGAATTTAGATAATTAACCTGCAGAGTGCTGTCAGTTAAATAATTTTGAACTAATATATAGAGTGAAAAAATAAACTTTTTCAATTTAGCAATCAAACTTTCATGCCAAACACTGACGAATGCTTTTTCTATGTCTTGAACAACAACTCCAGTTGAGTGGCCTTCAGATTTGTTTGAACGAATTAAATTGGTAACTCTTAAGAGTTGATGAGTAGTTGAATGCCCATGGCGAAATCCAAACTGCTCATTTGCAAAAATTTAGTTTGTATTGATGTGGAGCATCATTCCATTTAAAATTATCTTTTCAAAAAGTTTACTTATTGACGAAATCAAACCTATTGGACGGTAGCTAGAAGCTTCAGCTGGATTTTTATCCGGCTTCAAAATTGGAACAATTTTTGCATTTTTCCATTTATCAGGAAAGTGTTCTCTGGGAGTTTTTTGTGAGGATATAGAAAATTCCATCTTCACCTGGAGCTTTCATATTATGAAACTTTTTAGTTATAGACCTTACCTCGTCCAAATCAGTCCCCATGGAATCATCAAAAATATTTTCCCTAGAGAAAATATTCAGATAATCCCGAGCAACCTGATTCTCAATAGGACTAGTAAGACCCAAACTGAAATTATTTTTTTATTTATTTTTTTATTTTTTTTTTTTATTTTTTTTATTATAGTCACTTTAACGCTCTTGGGTCATTCGTGACTTGTCCGGGGGTGAGATTTGAACTCGTGGCTTTGGCGTGAGAGGTATGGATGCTAACCACTACGCCGGGGTCGCCCCCAACTGAAATTATGGGAACTCTCGAATTGCTTAGCAAGTTTCTCAGTTTTTTTTTTGCGAATTTGTGATCAAATATTTACCAGCTTCTTTAAGCGCTGGAATAGGCTTTAGAGGTTTTTTCAAAATTTTTGTGAGTTTCCAAAACGGTTTGGAACTCGGGTCTAATTTAGAAACATTATTTTCAAAAGTTTTGTTCCTCAGGGCAGAGAATCGCTTTTTAATTTGTTTTTGCAAATCCCGCCAGATAACTTTCATGGCAGGATCGCGCGTTCTTTGATATTGCCTCCTACGGACATTTTTCAGACGGATCAAGAGCTGAAGATCGTCGTCTATTATAATTGAATCGAATTTAACCTCACATTTTGGTACTGAGGCAGCTCTTGCTTCAATTATAGAAGCAGCCAGAGATTCAAGAGCATAATTAACATCATCTTTGGTTTGCAAAGGAATGTTTGGATCGAAGTTACATTCCATAAATGTTCGATATTGCTCCCAATCAGCCCTATGGTAATTGAAAGAAGAGCTGTTGAGATTACAAATTATTTCTTGGGATATTTTAACAGTTACTGGAAGGTGATAAGAACCGAAGTCAGCATGGGTAACCAATTGGCTACAAAGTTGACATGAATCACTTAACACTAAATCAATAGTTGAGGGATTTCTTGCTAAAGAAAAACATGCTGGGCTGTTTGGATATTGAATAGAGTAATAAACTGCAGAACAATCATCAAACAGAATATTACCATTGGAATTGCTTTGAGCATTGTTCCAAGAGCGGTGTTTTGCATTAAAATTACAAATAATGAAGAATTTAGACCTATGACGGGTAAGTTTCTGAAGGTCAACCTTGAGAAAATTATTTTGCTTGCCTACGCATTGGAATGGCAAATAGGCAGCTATAAACGTAAGTTGTCCAAATTTTGTTTCAACAGAATCTTCCAAAGTTTCAAAAACTTTGGTTTCAAATGAAGAAAGAATTTTATGTTTGATTCGTCTATGAACAATGATGGCAACGCCACCACAGACTCCATCAAGACGATCATTTCTATAAATGAAATAATTTGCGTCCCTTTTAATCTTATGGTCAGGAACGTTTCAGTTCAGGCATAACATTTGATAACGGCACAAAAGCATTTGTAAACAAAATTTACACGCGAACCAAAGTACACCCACGCAAACCAACAACATCATCGGGTAGGGGCAACTATCACCTTTCCGAAAGTGGTATTGGTTTGCGTGGGCGTACTTTGGTTCGCGTGTAAAGGGCCTTAGAAGGTTTGTTTACAAATGCTTTTGTGCCGTTATCAGATGTTATGCCTGAGTTATAACGGCAATATGCACGTTATGAAAATAGTTAATAGTTAAATTGCTCGTCTTCATTATATTTAAAAGATCGAGCATTCCAATTTGAAATATGTAATGATTTAAAATCCATTACTGAATTTCAAAGCCATAACAATATTGTTCGCAAATTTTACTTCAGTTTGAAAAGCATCAAACATGGAGTTATATTTAAGCATATCAGTAATCATTTCAATTAATGATTTCTGTAAAAATTCAATTTTAAGAGCTGTAAATTTCCGCTACCCGCTGCAATAGCAGCAAAGGTAGCTCCATTTACTTGCCGAACATTGTTAGCAGCGAGGGGAGCATGTATAAATGAAGAATCAGGGGTGATATTTGAACCTACGGGTACGAATGTAGAATTTATTCCTCGCTGACCGTTGTTAACAGCAGAGTAATTTATACCTGATCGAAAACGTGGA